TCGTATATTTCTCCGCACCAGCACGGCTTTCGGAAAGGGCGATCTACAGTCACCAACTTGTTAGAGTTTACCTGTCATGTTTTCAAGGCTTTTTCTAGTGGCTCTCGCACAGATGTTATTTACACTGATTTAAGCAAAGCATTTGATTTGGTTAACCATAGACTACTTATCTTTAAACTCCAAGCCTCTGGTTTCCCACCCTACTTAGTGAAATGGATAAGCTCTTATCTGCACAATAGATCCTTCAGAGTTTTGTTTAACTTCATTAGCTCGGATGAATTCCCCGTTACGTCTGGCGTACCTCAAGGAAGTCACTTGGGTCCCATTTTATTTAGTTTATACATTAACGATCTCCCATCGGTGGTTAATTCCAGCCAGATCTTAATGTATGCTGATGATGTGAAACTGTTTTCTTCCTTCTCTGTTGAATCGCAATCACATCAGCTTCAAGGTGATTTAGATAATTTTGTTGCATGGTGCTCTTTGAATCTCCTGCAACTAAATCTGAGTAAATGTAAGAAGCTTTCATTCTCAAGAAGAAAGTCATTCATTACTCAGTATTTCATAGATTCGCATAAGTTGGAGGACGTCGATTCGATTACGGATTTAGGCGTCCTATTTGACCATAGGTTACGTTTTAACTTGCATATTGAGCTCTCGATTAGCAAAGCTAGGTCCGCGCTTGGTTTTATAAAAAGGTGGTCCAAAGAGCTTGATGATCCCTACATTACGAAAAGGCTGTACATGTGTTTGGTTAGACCCATACTCGAGTATGCCTCAGTTGTGTGGTCTCCTTCATATAGGTGCTACGTAGATTCAATTGAATCAGTTCAAAAGCAATTCTTGCTGTTTGCCCTTAGAAATTTGGGTTGGGATCCGATTGCCTCTCTTCCTCCGTATGAAAATAGGTTGCTTCTGCTGTCCCTACCGTCTCTTGAGAAACGTAGATTTGTTCTTGGCGTTTCCTTTCTAATTAAAGTAATAAATGGTGCTATTGACTCGCCTTCATTACTTGGTGAAGTAAGCTTCAATGTCCCTAACCGCTTCTCTAGGCACTTTATCTTGGTAAAGCTTAATCAGTGTAAATTTAATTATGAGCTGTTCAATCCGCTCAGAGTCGTTTGCAAGAACCTAAATGACGTCTACAACTTATTCTCGTTATCGGACTCTTTAAAGTCCATTAAAGCAACATTGCTTAATACGCGCGATTTACCTATGTCGTATTTAAACTAGCTTTTATCCTTAAAAAGTCGTTACGTTTCGAAAGTGAATTATTGTCAATTTATTATCGGTTGCCAGGCTTATGCATGTTTGCGATGGCTTAGGGGTTCATTTGCAATTTGATCCTGTACCGGTTGTAAGTGTGCTCCTATGCTGATAGTGTACATGCTTTTTTTTCTTTTTTCTTTTTCTTTTTTTTTTTTCTTCTTATTTGTTTTATTATGCTTATACTCAATTTTATTGTTAATTAATATTAGTTTTGCATTAAGAGCCTATTGAACTCGACTGCTATTTGTTTAGTTGAGTTTCTAGTATAAGTGGAGTAAAATAAATAAATAAATAAATAATCAGCGTTTAAGGCTAGCGGCTTCATTGAAAGTTTGGCTGCGCAGAAAGTTTAAACCCACGACTATTCTACCACCTAAATGAAAGTTTTGTTAAGCAAGCAATGCCAAGATATTGCGGTTTTATGCGCTTACAAGATTGAATAAAATAAGTCTTATATTATACTTAAAAAAAAAGAAAGCTTTTTCTACCTTTCAAAACTCACATATCCCTTTAAGCTATCACTTATCCAATTCTTTTTTTAATTTTCAAATAAGAAGAACAAAATATTTTTAAAAAGAAAATCTCTTAGAGTTCAATGCAAAAGTTTCTTTAAATAATTTTGCTCAATAATGCTGAAAGTATTCCATACGAGAGAGAGAGAGAGAGAGAGATAGATAGAGCTTTAACATATCACGCACGGAGTCTTTGGAAAATATTAACAAAATAAAAATGAAGACAATAGTGACAAGTTAATCCCTTACGCACAATAGCTGTTGCTGTATGCTTTCAAAATGAAAACGTGGTCAAAAGTTCTTTTTTCCTAATTAACACCTTAAGTTAATTTGAAAAATGAAAGCATGTTACCATCGAATGCACGACACGACAAGAAGTTTTATATCTCACATTGTTTTCTCTACTCTATTAGAAATTTGCGAAAAACTTTTGTTGGTATCGTTTCAAAAACGCTACAAGCCGAAAACGCAAAATTTAGGTTAAATTATTTTGCGTTCAGTTTAACCTTCAATAAAGAACATGATGGTTGACATTTTTCTTGAAAATAGAAAATTGAAAATATTTGCAAAGATGCAAAGTGTTGGTTATGACTTGTCAAAAGTTAAGCATAGAGGATTTCCGAAGATTGCAACAGAGAAGTTGGCAAAGTTTAATTAAATTTTCCTTTCAACATTTCCCCCATGTACGAGTCTGTATGCCAAGACATGACAAATAACTCTGAGCGAGCTGGCGAAGTTAATGTGAAACAAATACACTTTTTAATAATTCTCTTTACAAAGGCAAACTTTCTACTTTTCTTACACACAACACGACAAGAATAAAGACAACTGATATGAAAAGATATTATTTGGAAAGTTTCTGATCGTTTGATAATACATGAAAGCGTTAAATACCATTTATCGCTGGGCCGATTAAAAAATGCTCACATGCTGAGCGCACGCACTGCATATATCTAAAGACAAAATGAATCTCCTATCTTTATAACCGCTCCGTGTATGTGTTTTAACTTTGAAATGTATTAGAATTAGCGAAGAAACTCTATAAATATGTTTGGACTTTAAATGAGAACGTGTTGCCAATCTAAACGGGCAATGACAATAACAATGAAGATAAGGATTGACAGACAAATTGCTTTATTTTTATTTCGGTCACAAAAGACTACAGCAATTATATAGTTATTTTATAGGTAACATCTTTTCTTAATCAGCCAAACACACACACACACAGTCAAACTTTTTCACAGACTCATTAACCCATCTGTATGTTGATGGCAAAATTTTGTTTGCAAATATTAGTTTGGGGAAAAAGAAATCCATTATTTTTTCGGTAGATGGCTGCACTGATAGATTTCTCGTAAAGTATCGATCAAACAATTTCAGATTTATGCTCGTTGGAAAGGTGAAATTTCGCAGTAAAAAAAATTCTTTTAAATCCGACAATCCGAAACAAGTTAAATAAAGTCCTGAAGTTCATATAAAAATAATGGATTTCTTTTTCCCCAAACTAATATATTAAAAGACTTGATAGTTTAAGTTTTAATAATACAGTCTGTAGAATAATAGAATATGCACATTTATTACGTCACATGAACAAAGGTGAGTGGAAGCGGCGCGCTCTCAAGCAACGTATTCTTTATCAACTAAAAACTTTAGTTTTAGTTTAACTAATAATGTTTTGTTTTTTTTTTTTTCTCTTGAGTATGACCAATCACTCAGGCTATGTCCCCTGTACACGAAGTACAATAAGGATCAGAAAGAAGTAAAGATGGGGAATGGCTGCAGTTTAGTGGGAGTGGATCTAATCAGCAAATATCACACCTTTACCGACAGACTGTAGTTGCGGCCGTGTTTGAGATATGAGTCCACGGACACTGACTTAATAATCGCGATCCTTGCCTAGTCGGCCAGTCAGGCGAAGTTTAGCTAATAATATGGGATCATAGGAGACTTGTAATATTTCTTGCTAAATTTAAAGGGCTGCTTTGTTCATTCAGTTTGATTGAAGACATTTAATCTTCGGCTAATATGCTACGTACTGCAGTTTAAGAGTTAGCGAAGAGTACTTCTTTCAACTCTTCCTTAACATAAAACTCGGATTTTTCAACATATTTTACAAGCCCCATGACTGCTTTGGGTAAAATCAAGTGCATTTCTATAAATGCTATCACGCAGGTTCTATGGTAATATCGGGCTGCCAACCTATGGCAGTGTAATACCCAATTTTATCGGAACAATTTTTCTATTCGTTATCAACTTGCAGTTCACTGAGCATTTCACGGTGAATTCGACACTACCATAGTTTGAAAATTATCTCTTGGCCTAGATGTAAAATTTGTTTAGGATGCAGAGAGATACGAACTACATGGAACTAAGAAATCTTTTTATGCCACCAATTCAAATGTAATTTTAAAACACTATCACATTCTAGCTTAATTTTAAATAAAATCCACCTGGCATCAGCTTATTACACCCATGTCTCCCTACACCAACATTTGATTGAGTGAAGAACACTTTAACATGCGACAAGACTTAATCGTCACTTAGCCAATACTTACTTAAAATAAGTTTGAAATTTGTTTATCTTATTCATTAAAGCTGCGTTAATATTTTTGATAAAAAGGAGTTAGCGTATGACGTATAGTCGCATTAACGCATAAAAACTAAATAACCTTCCTGGGGTTATAAGTGATAGGTATCTAAATTTCGTTGCATAACATTTATACATACTTGCATACTTCCTTTATTGTTGTACTAAAAAAAAAAACAAAAAAACAAAAAAACTAAAAAAAAAAAAGAGGAAAAAAATTTCAAATTAAATTTTTTACTAAAAATAACATTTTTGGTTTTTAGTTTCGTATGCCGTCGTATCTATTATCATTTTCCACTTTAGGGGCTAATGCACTTGTCTCTCTCTCTCTCTCTCTCTCTCTACTTTTTTATCTCTCTCCCCCTTTTTCTATGCGTACGCTATACCGTAACATTTCATGGCATTCAATTGCCAACGCGATGTACAATCTCTTTACAATACGCTCTGCGTTAGGCTGTTTCGTACATTTTCTCAAAATTTTTTACGTTTCTCAAGAAAATTATTCTATTTTCTATATTTAAACGAAAAATTCATCATTGTTGCCATTTTATTACATAATCATCTTAAAAATTTATGACAGAAATCAATTTTTTTGTATTTTTGTTTCTCATTACTTTGAGGATTATTTTGAAAGCGATTACATAAATCCATTGGCTTTCGCCGCACAGAATGACACTGAAAGTATAATTATTCGGTCGTAAAATATTCTCTCGTAAATAATTAAGAATCTTTTTAGCGCAGTTGATTGGAAAATAATAACTTGTATCTTAGAAGCATTCCCCACGCGAACGGTGGATAATATATATAAGTAGATGATTACATGCGAGTCTAAACTATAGAACGCAGGCGGGCAGCAAGTAGGAGAAGAAAAAAGAAAAATATTACAATAACGTAAGTGAACTTAAAAATATTACAAGAAATCGATTCAGTATTTGATGCTGATCAAGAATATATGCACTCTTCGAGGTCTCTGAAGATTTCTTTTGGGTTTTAGCAAATACACCCCCACCTTTCGATAATTGGTATAAAAGAAAAAGAAACCTTTGCTAATCGTTTTAATCTGACACGTAATTAAAAAAAAATTCACTATAGCCGTTCCTTCATCTACCTCTGTCTACTTTCTCTTGATGCAATGCTTTTGCTTTACATATTGTAATTAATAAATTTGAAACACAAATACGTCAGCTAAATTTTTTGGAAAATGCATCAAGTACAATATATCAGCAAATATTAACAAGGACAGACGGACAAATATAGGAATGAACGACCCGACAATTGAGCGAATACTTTTCCCGAATGAACAAGTCACTAATCATATCGAACTTATAGGACACACTATTCGATTTAGGTGCCAGAAGTGTCGTAATTTTTATTCGCCTCGACGTTGATGAAAAATAATTTTCAAGATGGCATATCTGAAGGCATATCTAGTCAAGCACAATTTTATACCTTATCAAGCACTTCCGATATACGTAATATAAATGTAAAAAATTATTATTTGAACATGATTGTTCCTTAATTATAACCCTGCAGAATTCTTTGATCGATTAAGAAAATCGTTTCTAATATTCTAACAGAAAGCATTGTAGGTTTACTGGTCTCAGGTATTGCTTTAATTGTGCAAATGTTCCTAACTTAATATTAAACCAGTATTGCAGAACAAGTCTCGCGCTTAACTGCTGCGGTGCGTCACAGTAACGAAGGACGTGGATGTGCTGCAACTGTCATATTCTCGTGATATCCTTGGACGATAGTCAATACATTAACGGCTAAAAAGAGTTTAAGGCTTAAATTGCCTGTAACCTGACGACGGCGATTTCCCATAAATTTATAAAAGAGTATTTCCTATCTTTACGAGTAATGCACTTTGATCTTAATCATGAGACCCGCAAGTAATTTCAAGAATAGTAGAATTTTGAATAAAACCGATAGGCTCAGATGCTAACGTTTGAATTTAGTTCGCTGACTAAATTAATTATAATGAGAATAATAACTCTACGCTATGGACGCCTTAAAGATCTAGCTGAACAGATCTAATTAATTGGTAGGGTACAACGATGTGGCAGTTGCTGAGACTACCGAGTAAGCTCTCACATCCCAAGGCAAAGCGTATGGTTACCACGCATGCTTATGCACATGTGCTTGCGAAAGGCTCATGCAATGAATTGTTTGAGAGATAGTGATGCCTACAAACACCTCGGCCGAACCGGCTTTGAGTTCTGTCTGCTGAGTACAGCCTTTAGCGAAGTGTGGTCGTGGCTATGGATTACCCGAAGACGTGTATCATATAATTAGTGAGTTGCCAGATGGGCCTCGAATCCTTGCATAGAGCGACTTTAATTGCCATACATAAATAAGCGACTATATAGATCGGTCTAGTACCTCGGCCTAAATAAAGCTTCTGGCTTGTAGGGACTGTCGCAATCAGGGGATGGCGCCGCTTCCTGCTCAAATAATCCACTATAACAACGGATAAGTGAAGTTAAGCCACGAGGAAGGTGTTCGCATAAAAGGAATTCCTTTGAAGGCACTCAAGGTCACACCTATGAAAAATATTGCAGATATTGAGTTTTTCTTTAACATTATCAAATACATTTTAAACACAATACCATGAGCATTACAAAAAAATGTACCAAGCTTAGCAAGTTTACTATAACACAGTTGCTGTTGGCACGTAACACGTTCCTTAAGTAGAAAAAGCGGAGGTTTTTGTAGACTTGTCAGGTGTGTTTTTAGCAGTGAAAAGGTTAATTATGCTTTTTAAAGACCAGTCCAACAGAATTTATTTTACAACACACACCTAAAACTAGGCTACAAATGTTTGCAACCTGGCGCTATGCTCTCGTTATTACGAATTTTTTTTGCTATCTACAAACTATAGAGAATTTTTCTCACGATTTACTCTTTCTTTGTCCTTATTTTATTGCAATGATTTTCACATCACGTAGAATGTTAAGTTTTTCGACAATACATGCACGTTCCCTGCGTTCCTACGTACGTAAGCGTTACGGTCTTACAGCTTAGTTGAAAATATGCTGTTGGAGACTTTAAACATAAACACATACATTTTGATTGTAATAAGCTAAAAACTATTAATTTGTTTCTTGTTCTTAGGCTTTGCGTAACAATATCTTTGAATGCGAATAAAAAGTGGACTCTAGTAGCACGTGCGAAATCAAAAAAAATACCTGAATATAATATAAATTTTAATCGGATAATATATATAATATGCGACTTTCAAGAGTTAAATTTCAGAAATTTTTTATCTTTCGCAAAACCAACAACCAGCGCCCATAAGCACAGACACACAGTTAACAAATAGCAATTATGAAAGTATTATTTATTTTTGCCCCATTTCGCTCGCGCTTTGGTAAACCGTAGCAAAAAAAAACACTTCAACTTACATCAGATGCAATATTAAACCAACAAAATACGTTTGTGTGTAAGAGGATATAAAAGATATAACACACAACACTTACACACGCAAAGCATTATATATGCTATAAATCCGCCAGCACAACACATTCTGCAATAATAAAAACGCTTTTTCAGTTTAAACTCTTACTGTTTTCTATTATTGTTGTTATTGTTGCTGCTTTTATTTTTTTATTTCTATTTTTATTTTCGTTTGTTTTTTTTTTTTTTTTTTTGCTTTTTATTTAACACAACACATTTAACTTTCGCTGTTGGGCAGTAACCAAAACTTCACTTAAGCTAGTGAGAAACCAATGAAAATAAAAACCAACCACCAGCAAAACATTTGTATTAACCATTTGTTAAGAATGAAACGTCGCCTTCGTTGTAGCCACTAAAAGCTTTTTGATTATGAAAAATGCTTGAAACATATGCTCCAAATGACATTTTGTGTGTTTGATGTGCGCTTTTTTGCTGGTGCCGCTGTTTGGAAGATTAAACAAATAAGAGCAACAACAATAACTATACAATAAAATGTAACACCATCAACAGCCAACAAACAACTGCATAATAACACCATCGCCACCATCAGAATCATCGTCGACAAGCTCGGGATAGATTTCACTTAAAAAAAAAAACTGTTTTTTACTAATGTATGTGCGGATGCACTTACATCCGCCCATTACGGCTGACCCACTTAGAAAATACCATTTCGTCATTTACCGGGTATTCGAAAAGAGTTTTTTTTTATTTTTTTTTGGGTTTTTTTTTTTTTTTTTTTTGATTTTGGGATCGTTTGATTAATTTCTTGGGTGAATTCAAGTCTAGCAGTCATAACAAGTGGATTAGTAGAAGTAAAATGATATTTTTATTGCTTATTTATCAAATGGAAAATAAAAAATAGTAACAATTTTGTACCGCATTTGCGAAACATTAGAAAGAACAATAAATATTGAAATTTCAAATTTCCGCTAATAATGGAAAATGTATTCTGCTTCGAAAAAAAAAATAAATAAAAATTTTTCTTCTGAAACGAAATTTCAATTAGGAAGTAATCGTACAAGACGTCTTCTAAAAAACTCAAATATTTACAAATATTTATAATGGACTATTTTTATATATATTGTGATGTATACAAATATAATTGATGATTTTTTCCCCCCGAGTAGGGAAATAATTCCGACCAACAACTCAACTGACGTGGATGTAAATCTCAAGTGCGGCAGAGTTTTTAATCAAGCCGATAGCCTTAGGCGCTGTTGCTGTAAGACTTTAGTTCTACAATTTATTTATTTTACTCAGTTCTCTGTCTAAATCAATTATAATAATAATTATAATAATAACATTTTGCTTTCAATACCCTATACCACTTATGCTGCACGGTATATTTGGTTCGCACGCGAATATATAACACTCAGAAGGCTCTAAGAGAGATTCACCTTTTATTATATCGATCCATTCAAAATCGTTTTACGAATAAATCTAAGCTTGTCTCTCTGTCTATCTAACCGTTCGTCGGTCTCTCTGATGCCCATTCATGTATGTCTATGTTCGCGGTTCTTTAACAAAATTTGGTACACTGACGTGCTTCGATGTAAGTATCGACCCCAATTGAAATTGGCTTGGGTTGGACCACTCATATAACGCGTTATTTTGAAAAGGTAAATATGGAAAAATGGCAACGTTCAAAATTTCTTTGCAAAAATCGCTAAATAATAGTATCATTAGATGTGAAAAATTTGGATCGAGTAGATCAAATACCATAAGAATTACTTATACCAAATTAGTAAATATAGGTCAATCTTTTTGGGCGCCAGTGTACACATAAGTTTCATAGAAAAGTAAGCATTTATATGACAAAATTTTTAAAATTTGATTTTCAATCATAACATGTGCTCCATAAACGGGGTCAAGGTTCTAATTTTTAATACATTGTGATGAAAATAGTTATCAAATACTAACATTTTTAACAAGAAAATTAAATTTAATAAAATTCGACCAAATTCTGGGTCACTTCTCATTTAAGCGCTCCTACAAAAAATATGCCCTTATATGCAAAAGAGCTATAGTTTTTGGCATTTTATTAGAAAAACGAAGAACTGTATTGTCCGAAGTAGCGTAGCGTGCTTATAGTCGGCTTTTCTCGCCTTCTACTATTTCTAATTATTTCTTTCAATTCCTTTAAGGAATTTTTAAAATGCTTTTCATTCTCGGATCAGTCTACACTCCCTTTAGCCTAAGAATTTCTGAAGACATTTAAAGAGGACTTTCCTTAGCGAGTGTCAGTTAAATTTCCAAGCTTATCACTATTAGCTTTGATCGTATATTATTTTAGAATAAATTTAACACCTCCATTGCACCTCACAACTACATTTTTCCTCCATCGACAATAAGAGAATTTAATATTATTTTGCGCTTATTATCACCTACTTAAACAAAGAATTCGAATGCCTCAACGAAAGACTTGTACGTAAACA